CCATTCATATTCTTCCCGACTACCTCATGATTGACATAAAGATAAGTAAATAGTATTCACTCCTCTTTGGAAGAACATTCCATGCGACTATTGGAGCAAGAATCTATGTTGTCAACGGATAAATCATTCTACACGTAGGAAAGCTCTTATACAAAGTGGAGAAGCCAATTAATAGAAGTAATGAATTCAACGAGTATTCACAGGGCAATCAGAGAATAAGATGAGATCGAATTTCGATTTGGATCTCTATTTGAGGTTTCCACAAACATAAAAATTGATAACCTTGATCAAAACCCAAAGTATGGAGGCGAGTTGAAGGAGGCTCCACCAATTCCAAAACTGAGGCCAGCTTAGATGGCACTCAAGATAGCCAATACAAGGCCAAATGATCGAGGAGCTGGGATATGAGACATCAGAAAACTGTCAAGAGTTCATCCATCATTATGAATCTCACTATCAACAACAAACCAATCATTTCAACTAGATGGGAGATGATGATGAAGTGGGGCTTGATCAAGAAATCAACTATAGGGAGCCTAGTTGAGTCTAGTTCAAAGGCATAAAAGAGAGAACGCTTCATGGGAGAAAGCCCATGTATAGTGTCAAATTTAATGACGTTAAACAAAAGTGTTACTAGGGATATAATCTAGATTTCTCTTTCATAGTTAAATTTTGAATTTCAAGTTTGTTTTTAGCTTAAGATTTTTAGTTACTCATTGGAGAAAATTAATGTATCCCTTGGATAGGTGTTATATTTGGAGGAAAATTTTGAACTTATGACGAGAAAAAGGATTTTGATGACCCAAAAATATTACATAATCAACTTTTTACCGTCGAAGTAAGTGTCCTAAAGAAAAAATTTGGAAATCAACGAAGACCATGAAAGGGAGCAGCGAAAATCAGACCCGCCAACCCACTGCCGCTGCCCTGGGGTCTATAAAAAGGGCAATTTTGGCCACCATCTCAACACCACAATTTATTTTTTCACTTCCCTCGCTCTTCCCTCAACTTAAAAACTCTCCCTTCTCTCTATGTTTAAAATTTTCTCTCAATTTATTCAACTTTCAATCACCAAATCTACCTCGAAAACTTAAAATGTGATTCTCAAATTTGAGATACAACCTACCCATCACCAAACAAACAAAGTCCAACCAAAGCAAATTACAAAAAAACACACTGGAGTAGCACGGCGACTATACCCGCCGCGCCACCATTGCCCTTTCTCTCTCTAGATTCTTCAACTTTCTTCAATCTCTGTAAGTACCCATGATCTTTTGTTGAATTTAGGAGTTTGAATCATTAATTTAGAGCTTCAATCAAGGTTTTCGAACTGGTTCAACACGTTAGCCCGGTCGAGCAAGTGGGTTCAGGGTTAATGGTCAGATCGCTTTAGCCCAGATTAGCCCGGATATATGGAAAGATTCATTTTATGTCTCTTACGTATATAAATTATATCAAATATTGTATGATCAATAACATATGACATTACACCAAAATAATAGTTTATACTTGAATCCAACATATAATGAAAATTTAATACGGTTAAGTTCACCATTAGACATCAATATTTAAAAGTTGAATTTAAAATAATTAATTGGCTTATATATACAAGGATAATAAAATAATTAATTAATTAAACATGAGAAGAAGGATGTTGGAAAGTTAATGCATCTTTGGAATAATCAAACGCGACATCCTAGGGTTGTTCAAATGGTTATCATGTTAATTACAAAACTAAATTCTATTAACCAATGAATGCAATATATCATAATAAAATTATCCAAACTAATACAACAACCAAATTAACCAAACTAAAGTTTAATTGGTTTGATTAATTGGTTAACCAGATTAACAATAATCCATATAACATTACATTATCATTCAGTGAGAAATTTTTCGATTAATACATCAATTCAAAATTTATATAATGAATAAGCATAACAATCAACACATGGTTATAGTTAACCTTTACATAAATACATGCAACTAATACTAATACAATTATCTTACAGTCAATAGAAGTATTCACATAACAAAAATATATGCAATGATATGGGGTTAATGTACTATTGTGTTTGTGTGAATTGATTTATCATAGGCTAAAAAATATATTATTTTCATATTTTAATCCAACATATTGTATGAGTTTTATCTGAATTAGGCATCCATGTGTTGTGATTAACACTCTACAAATACAAATATACAATATAGGAACAATATTGAGTTTAATCTTTTATGAGCCTAGAAAGGAGCAACGTTTGACTCTTGGGTGGTTAATCAAATTATTAAGTATGTATATATATAATACATATAAGATATTTGACTAATTACTTAATTGTTTAATTTAGTTTGATTGGTTAGGAGCGTCTGAAACCAAACCAAACCACTTAAACCAAACAATCTAAAATGTTTAATCAAACCAACCAATTATCCTGATTAACCAAACCAAAATATCCAAATACTATCAGTTAAAATGGTTATCACGGTAAACACTCTGTTTGAACACCGTTCACTTTATGAATGAGATGGGACCCTCGTCTCCTCCACTTTCTTGGGGACCGAGAATAATAAATGAGTCGGATTTACAAATATGGGAACTAGTCTTGCGGGTAGACACACCCGGGTTTGTTGGATTTTGACCGGTTAAAGACAGGTTTGATTGTACTAGCCAATTCCTTAATTGGGTTTTGACTCACTCCTACTGTCACTCTAGGAATTGGTCAAGTGTAACCACTTCCTAAAGTGTAGTATAGCGGATTTGGGTTTTAATATCAACCCGGGTCCTAGATTTGATGACTACTCGGTGAATTCTTGTTATCTAGCAATGAAACTTTAGTGCACGTCCAAATTAACAAACAAACAAAGCAAGTAAACGGTTGTTTTCAGGTTAAGAGAGGTCACCCGGATATGGTTCCCCCTAGACTGCAGTTAAGCCGGATTGCAATTTACCAAGTTCAGTTTCTATGATAGTTATACTGCGGAAGGTTCTTAAACAGTCTGAAGTCTCGACTAAAGGTCTCTAGACCCTCTCAATCCGAGTCTCTAGCGGGCGACTAACCTCCACCGAAGTAAACAGATTGAGGCCCTAACTAAAAAAACCTCCACTACCGAAGTGAATTCGGTACAGAATAGTGAGTTGGCTCCTCGACTAAAGTCACCAACTCCCTACCTTCAATCAAGGATGCTTTATCAACCTAGGCAGATATTCTCATTCTAGGTTAAAGCAGAAACAACAGGAATTTGATTAGGATTCAAGTCATTCAATCATTCAAGCCTCAATTGAATATAATCAAATCATAGAATCTGTACTTGGGTTCATACAATCAAACCTAACATACAAATCTAGGGTTTCCCATACTCAGATGAGTGGGAGAACTACTCCATGGAGAAAGAAGCAAAAGCAGATTCAGACGCAGAAATCATACTGTGAAGGATGGATTTCTGCTCCTGGACGTTGATCGGCACTCCTCCAAGCTCAAGCAAAGCTCCAATGGTGATGAAGATCAAGCTAGGGCACTTGGAGACTCTTGTTCGTCGCTTTCTCTCTCTAGGAATCGCTCTGTCTCTCTAAAACTCGAATCCCCCTTCTATTTTGGCTGAAATCTGCTTAAAAGGGCATCACTGGGCAAAACACGGTCGAGGGCACGGCCGTGTTTTGCTTCAGCCCGCCCGTGTTTTGCCAAGGGTTAATTACACGGCCAGACTGTCGGGAGAAACATTTTGGTGGACACGGCCGTGCTTTGTCTCAGCCCTGCCCGTGTAATCAGCTCGTGTTTGCCAAACTCAAATCAGCTCTCGGCAGTAAAAGCATGGCCTAGGAACACGGCCGTGTTTTGATTTAGGTGTGCCCGTGTTTTGGCTCCAGCTTCACCGAATGACTTCCGAATGCCCCGAAACTCGTGCTTAGCCTTTCCTTTGACGCCTGGGACCTTAAATATGACAAAATAGCACAACCCGGCGTAAAATAGGCCAAAAATACACTACTATGCCCCTCAAACGGATAAGAACTAGGGGCGCAAATATGTGCAATTACATCGTTATCAAATTCCCCCACACTTAAGCGTTTGCTTGTCCCCAAGCAAACCAAGTCGGACACAAGGTAAGCTCAAAACAGGGCATGTCATATCGGCACAAAACACGTGGATCATACTGGCTTTCGATCATTAACACATGGACAACCTCAATGACAACCTAGACGACCACCATAGATGACATTCGAATGCAGCAAAATCGAGCAAAGGAAGAGTCTCCCTTCTGTTCACCAACCAACATAGACTTGACTCGACCACTTATTCAAAACAGTCACTTCATGCACAATGCTCAAGATATCAGAATTAAGACCGAGCAATCTAGGTCCTCACCGGGATAAAGAGTATAGAGAATAAGAGAAAATGAATCACTCACTCTCGACCAGTGGGGTCAGGACAATTTGATGCGAAAAATGCGCATGCTTAATCTCTCAATCCCTAACATCTTTTCACCAAGAATGCAGCCTCTAAGTGCTAGAGTTCACTTATGGGGTGTCACCACTAACTAATCTGGAGGTCTTAGACACAGGTTCAGATGACTGGCTAGGGTCTTGGACATGGGGAAAAGGCTTTTTAGGTGGTGGAAGTATTCATACAGCACAAGGTTCCACATTTTCAAACCCAACAAACTCGCAGTCAATCAAACCAATAACTTTCTTTCTGCTATTCTGCATTACTCAAATTCAGAGCACAAGAGCGAAGGAGGTTACATAAATGCTAGTATTTCTAAGCCAGACTGCTAAGAAACACCACTTAATGGGCATTACTCAAATTTTTGGTGGCGGCTCTCTTTTGCTTTCATTTTTTTCTTTGTTTTCTTTCGTTATTTTTTATTTCTTAAGAGAACCACCACCCCTGCACAATTTCAAACACCTGCCCAACTTTTACGCACTACCTCCAACCCTCACATTACATTTAGCAGAAACAGCAGAGAACATGTAAAAATCACTCTGTGGAACCTTCTAAAAGATGCAAAAGGGTGACTTTTCATTGAAGACCGAAAGAAAGGAAAACACACGGCTCAAAGGGGCTGACTAGGGGTATGACACACCAGGACAGTCAATTTGGTCGTGGGCTAATCCTATGCCTCCATCATTTAGCTAATGACAACGTGAATGCTGCACATCATGGAAGAGGAAACTATCGCACAAGAAAGAAACGAGCAGGCTCAAGTCTCACATGGCTACCTATATGCTCTATCTCTCGTTCCGATTCCCTGAACTAGATGCATAAATGACTGTCAAAAGCAAGTGATCAAACCAAGTCACATGTGGTAAGCAAACAATTGAAAAACTGAACCCCTACACAATTCTACTGCACATCTCAGTCATCACAGTAAGTTGTCTAAGTCACACTCAAGTTGTCATGTATCAAGTCAAAAGCCATTCAATTCACTAATCACATCCACAGTGCCAATACGGTCAATCATCAAGCAAACAGCAGTGCTTGGAGCCCTCAAATCTCAAGATTCGGACAGTGGACTAGGCTCCAAGCACACATATATACGTTCCAATTCATACAAAGAACCCCCCCCCCCCCCACACACACTTAAACGTGACAATGTCCTCAATGGAGCAGAGGGAAGGGGAACGATGTTACCGTGAAACAGTGGTCAGGAACGTTGACTGGATGGCGGACCAGTCAAAAGAAGGAGGCACAGAGCTAGAGACAACAAAAACACACACACTGGGTGATAGAAATCATAGTACCAAGTCTACAATCCAAGATAAAACAAAACGAAACCACAAAACATGGAGTCTCAGTCTGGAACACAAATAAAACACTCAACCAGCTCTAGAAGGCATCACCACCATCGCCAGTGGGCGGAGGGTACTCATCCTCAAACCCTGGGGACTGCACGAACGGGTAGTGGACCGCGTTCGGTTCCAAGCCCAAGTAGGACATGATGTAGTGCTTCCCTGACATGAGACGACGCCCTCGGTCCCGCTCACGATCAAGGCGGGTGTGGATGCGCTCCTGGCCGACCAGGATGCGCTCGTTCTGCTGAGCGATCGCTGCCAACTGATCGGAAATGGGCACCACCACTGGAGGAGGTGACCCTGGAGAAAGAGACCGGGGAGCAGGAGAGGGGCTCGCGGGAGCCTGTTCACGACGGACAGCGCGACGGGGAACGCGGCGTCCACCAGCGGCGCTCGACTCGGGCTGGTCGCCCGCTGCAGGTAAAGCCGGCTGAGGAAGGCCCGCGATCCTGTGCACACGCCCGTGGCGAGCAACCAAGTGCTGGTGGCGGAGAGTAGCCTCGCTGAGTGGGGTTGGCCCGCGGACCAATGTCATCCCTGTGTAGTCAACCCCGTAGTGGCGGGCCAAGGCGGTGATCACCGGGCCACATACAAGGCTGCGAGTCGTGCTGCTGGCGGCTTTACTGAACGTCCGGGCGAGCACAGAGCCCAGCTGGATGGTATCCTCAGAACGACCCATCGCATCCATGAACCAGAGTGTCTGGAGTGTGACCCGGTTGGATGAACCTTTGCTGGGTGTAACCACTTCTACTCCTACTGTCACTTTAGGAATTGGCCAAGTGTAACCACTTCCTAAAGTGTAGTATAGCGGGTTTGGGTTTTAATGTCAACCCGGGTCCTAGATTTGATGACTACTCGGTGAATTCTTGTTATCTAGTAATGAAACTTTAGTGCACGTCCAAATTAACAAACAAACAAAGCAAGTAAACGGTTGTTTTCAGGTTAAGAGAGGTCACCCGGATATGGTTCCCCCTAGACTGCAGTTAAGCCGGATTGCAATTTACCAAGTTCAGTTTCTATGATAGTTATACTGCGGAAGGTTCTTAAACAGTCTGAAGTCTCGACTAAAGGTCTCCAGACCCTCTCAATCTGAGTCTCTAGCGGGCGACTAACCTCCACCGAAGTAAACAGATTGAGGCCCTAACGAACAAAACCTCCACTACCGAAGTGAATTCGGTACAGAATAGTGAGTTGGCTCCTCGACTAAAGTCACCAACTCCCAACCTTCAATCAAGGATGCTCTATCAACCTAGGCAGATATTCTCATTCTAGGTTAAAGCAGAAACAACAGGAATTTGATTAGGATTCAAGTCATTCAATCATTCAAGCCTCAATTGAATATAATCAAATCATAGAATTTGTACTTGGGTTCATACAATCAAACCTAACATACAAATCTAGGGTTTCCCATACCCAGATGAGTGGGAGAACTACTCCATGGAGAAAGAAGCAAAAGCAGATTCAGACGCGGAAATCATACTGTGAAGGATGGATTTCTGCTCCTGGACGTTGATCGGCACTCCTCCAAGCTCAAGCCAAGCTTCAATGGTGATGAAGATCAAGCTAGGGCACTTGGAGACTCTTGTTCGTCGCTTTCTCTCTCTAGGAATCACTCTGTCTCTCTAAAACTCGAATCCCCCTTCTGTTTTGGCTGAAATCTGCTTAAAAGGGCATCACTGGGCAAAACACGGTCGAGGTCACGACCATGTTTTGCTTCAGCCCGCCCGTGTTTTGCCAAGGGTTAATTACACGGCCAGACTGTTGGGAGAAACACGACCGTGCTTTTGGTGGACACGGTCGTGCTTTGTCTCAGCCCTGCCCGTGTAATCAGCTCGTGTTTGCCAAACTCAAATCAGCTCTCGGCAGTAAAAGCACGGCCTAGGAACACGGCCGTGTTCTGATTTAGGTGTGCCCGTGTTTTGGCTCCAGCTTCATCGAATGACTTCTGAATACCCCGAAACTCGTGCTTAGCCTTTCCTTTGACGCCTAGGACCTGAAATATGACAAAATAGCACAACCCGGTGTAAGATAGGCCAAAAATACACAACTATGCCCCTAAACGGATAAGAACTAGGGGCGTAAATATGTGCAATTACATCGTTATCAGGTTTGTAGTGCCCATTTTTGTTACAAGGTTTGGTTCAACCTGTGGGTTGACAAACTTGGCTTCAATTGACGATTTAATCAATTGACGATTTAATGGTTAAAATTGTTTGAGTTTGAGTTATTCAACGAATACAAATTGTTTGAGTTAGTTAAGACTATCTCGTGCTAATTTTCGGCCTCTACTAGACACAATCTCTTGCTAATTTTTGGCCTAAATTAGATAATGTTTTTTCCTTCAAAAATAAGAATCATATTGTACATTTTACTGGAATTTTTCATATTATTTATGATCAAAAAATGTTTGCATCATAAATAATAAGAAAATCCTTCGGAAATAATTAATAAGTTAGTAAAATTTGAGGAACCGTGTGTCACTAATTGTGACATAGCCTACTATGTCGTCGAAAATAATTATTATTACTGACAAGGTTTAAAATGACATCAGTAATATATGCTTTCTCGCCGCCCCAAAAAAGGTCGTAGGAATAATTGAGTTTCTTAATGAATTGTCTCCATTATCGTAAATGTTTCGTTGGAAATGATATTATTTGTGAGGGATAGCTTGCTCCGTCAGAAAAACTCTACCCTTTTTTACCATCAATTACTAGTCTTCGAAAAAAGTTGGTCGTAGTAAATTTACATTGCAACGCATCAACGAAATCGTCATAATTACCACTGTATTTTTGACAAGGAATGTACATTTGTGGGTGATAATTTATCTTATATAATTTTTTATAACCAAGCTCTTGGTCATCAAAAATAAAATGTTAAGATTACCAATGTTTTAGTTAGCAGTGCCCTTTCTGACAAAAACATAATTTGGTTAGAAAAAGTGTATAATTAAAAAAAATCCTACTTGTTTGGAGGATTTGAACCATTAACCGTAAGTTTACAAAGTTGATTTCACACCAATAAGACTATCTTAATTTTTGTGAACTTTTATCTACCATTACCATTTAGTAACGTTCAAAAAAGGATATCAGATTTTCCAATTTTTTTATAACTGGTGCGGACAATCAGGTTGATCACTTGAATCATTACAGGTTATTGTCAGAGGTTAGCACGTATCAACAACTATCCCATCCTTGGCCAAGTTTAACCTAGAACGACATTGTCGTATAGTGGTAATCAAGGTCGTATTCTACTCGGGTCTTGGTACCCTAGCCTACTTCCAACCTAGTTGCTAATTAGTTAATCGGTTTTTATAGGTTTTGAGTAGAGAATATGAGCAAACACTAGTATATAGATTGATCAAAGATAATAGCAGGTACTTCGGGGAACTATCCCTCCCCCTAGCTTAGGGTCACTATGCATATCTAGATACTTTGTGTCATCGATGTGGTGAGGGAGCTCTTTTTCGTGGGCTTTCGTGGTTATCCACAGGCCTCCGAGTACGCCTCCCCTAATCCCATGTTCCAGTCACCTCGATCTAGGTTGTCGTATCAGGAGCATTTAGTTTATGGCTCATTTCCATGGACACTATCCACCGTCCACACCAAGGTTTCATCTCGGGTTTCATCTAGGAAGGCTACCTATAGCATGGGTTCGGTCACCTCGACAACTATAAGCACCCATTCACACATCTAATCTAAACTCGCCAGGTGGCGCATACCCGTCTAACCCTATTGCTCCGTACTCAGCGCGATAGCATAAAGTAGGCTAAGAGGGAAGATTATGGCAAATTACCGATGTGTATTCATTTATGAGAGAGTGGCATTAAAATAAACTAGACAAACACATTCATTCATTCAAACCCTAAAATATCCATATATACATAGTAGACCCTAAAACTAGGGTTTGAGGTTTAGAACCCCTAGTGTTATAGGACTACTCCATAAAGGAGGGAAGAAGATACATGGTAGAAATAGAAGAAGGCTTGGGGTTGAAGAAGATGTCTCCTTGATCCTAGCTCCTCCTTCAGCTTCTCTCTCTTCTCTCTCTCTAGAACCAAAAAGTTTCTCTCAAAATCAGCTCAACTCAAAAGGGGGAAGGAGTATTCTATTTATAGGCAATCTGCAGATACCGACAAGTTTGGAACCTGAAGCAAGGAGCTCGCGGGCGGGAACTTTGGTCTCTGGGCCGCGATCTCAAAACAGAGTCATTGAGGCTTCGGGAAGGGGAAGATCGCGGACTGACGTCGTGGTCATGATCCACGAGTAATGGCCGCAATCTTCCTCGTAGACGGAATGAATATTGGCCGTGATGCGACTGGGGAGACTCTATGCTTCTCCAAGGCTCCTTCCACGCGAGGTCGTGATCTTCAGCTGTCTTCGCGGCTTGTGATCCCGGTCGTGATCTTTGGCTTCTAGGCCATGATCTTCAATTCATGCCCCTTCTCTACACTTGTGACCTTGTTTTGTACCTAATTTGCACATATCGGACTAATACACCCTAAAATCTCATCGAAATCATATAGGAACGCAATAGGGATGTATTTGACGATGTTCAAGCATTTAAGCAAATGAATTGGCACAAAACACGCCTCGATATTTAGGGTAAATAACACCAATTTTGGTGTTATCAATCTCCCCCACACTTAGGCGTTTGCTTGTCCCCAAGCAAACCTACTCAAACCTAATGCAATATGATAGACAAATCAATAAGGTATGCATGCTAGTTCTTCATTGCATAGATGAGAGTATACATGGATGAATAAACGCTACTACCTTCCTACCGTGCGAGCAAAAACTCTCATGTGATTACCATATTTACTACCTTAGGGAGATCATAAAAAAAGTGCTCTGGGGGATTCTCAGACAACAAACAACTACTAGAACTATTGGAGGTGCTTTTATTCTTTCTTTTGGTGTAGGAGTTGTCTTTTTTTTCGGTCTCCTTTTCCTTTGTTCATGCACATTACACTGAACCTTTGCAATTTTTTTCTTTATATAATAGCATCTCTCCCTCATGTAAACGTTATTGACTCACAAAAGAGGAAGAAAGTAGTAAAATCCCTCATGTACCGATACTCAAACCATGCAACTATCACCTAAGATGCACCACACATTAATTAATCTAATCAAGTCAAAGCACATCGAGTAGGTAATTGCAAGGACAAGGTGTTTTGGAACCCTCAAATTTGAAAAAATTGGGTGTAACGTTCAAGGTTCCGAAAATAATATAGTTTAACCATTTATCACCACAACACAAGAACAATTACTAGCACACACTCCCATAAGAATTTATCAACGTTTTACATTCACAAACAAGGGAGGATACTAGCAATTAATGGGTCGACCAAACATGATAAATATTCAAACAAACACAACCATCCCCCCACACTTGGGCAACACATTGTCCTCAATGTGGGAGTGTATAAAGAAAAGGTCATGATTGTTACCATAGGTCGGGTTGTGGGTTGGTGAAGTTTCACAAGTGTAGTCTTTGTCTTCCTAGTGGTTTTGACAATGATAAAGCGCAAAAGATAGAGAGGAAGACAAATAGGAGTTATATATATATATATATATATATATATATATATATATATATATATATGGTGCCTTCTACGATACCCCGGGTGAAATCCGGGGTATCACATAAGTTGAGTATGAAAACGCTATCTAGACCTCAAATTAGCAGGATTTTTGGGCATGATACTATACTCTAACCCTTAATGAGTGAACCCTAGGTCCTAATTATCTAAATCATAAACTAAAAACCCTAAGATGGTGTATTACTTATTTTGCCTATAT